CCCCCAATACTAGCTAGAAAATTTGACGTATTACATTGGTTTCCCTGTGGTGAGGACGGACAGCTGGACAGGTGTACGGTCACGTTATTACTAAAATTTCTCGGATGGACAGATAACCAAATTTTCTTAGGTGTGGGGTTCCACTCGCGCGTGTGTGGCACAAAAGAGCTAAAAAACTACCGCTGGCAAAAAACTGAGACTGGATACAATAACAACCAGAACTATGACCCTACTTTAAATCCTTAAACAACCCAAAACAACTACTTTGTGGGTGGTTGGGTGGGGAAGGTCTAGCAATGGCAGATTGGAACAAAACATTGAATTGAACTTTGAAACACCACGCTAACTGAAGACCCCCCACACATTAGAACTCATACTCTCAGCCGTGTGGGAGAAAAATTTTTTCTGCTTCACTTTTCAGCCAGCAGAAAAACACATTTCCTTAGTATCAGTAGCAATACTAATGTTACATACATCCAGTCAAATCTCTACTACAGGTGTACATGTCAAAAGTAGCCAGTGCTTTTAGAATGATTTTACTTGAGCTGCGAAACAGATACTAACAAATAGTGCAAAATAGTGAGAGGTAAACAAAAGAAGGCAATAGAATTAGTGCATAATAGTGTGTAGTATTCTACTACCTATTTCATAGTTCAAGTAAAAACTCTCTACTGTAATAAATGCTGGCTAATTAGTGTACCAGACCCATATCCTCAAACCTACGTGTAAAGCAAATAATATTATTTTATATCCTTTGTATTCTAGGCCTTCACTTTAAACCTAAAGATGTAAGTCTTGCAAGATGGTCCACACTTCCGGTCTTCTTTGGCCAGCTGACTGGTGCTTATGAGGGAATAGGAACTGTGAGTTTATAAATACTCTAATCTTTCACAATGATAATGGTACTTGTTAATTATACAAAAATACAGTTGACTCTCTCTTAACAGACACCTCTGTAAAACGGACACCTAGAGTTGGTCCTTACCTTTCTTTACTCCCTTTATTTGACTCTCTATAAGACGGACACCTCTCTAAGTCTCTCTAAGTTGTCCTTCTTAGAGAGAGTTGACTGTATACTGATTTATGATGAAGATTTGGTGATAACAAGGAACTGTTTTTTGTTTTTAATGTTCTTACAAATATTGTCGTGTTTCCTGACAAAAGTACCAGTAATGTGACAAAGTAGTGCCAGTGGATTGAAGCAAACATCATCTCGAGTGAAAGGGTTGTTAGTTTTATTACTTCCCAGGGAATTTAAGCTTCCAAATCCATTGGCTACTTGACTAATATCTAAAAAAAAAAAAAAAAAAAAAAAAAAAAAAAAAAAAAAAAAAAAAAAAAAAAAAAAAACAAAAAAAAAAAAAAAAAAATAAAAAAAAAAAAAGTATTCTATTATTCAATCCAAAAAAAATTAAAAAAAAAAAAAAAAAAAAAAAAAAAAAAAAAAAAAAAAAAAAAAAAAAAAAAAAAAAAAAAAAAAAAAATTACAAAATTACAAAAAAAATTAAAAAAAAAAAAAAAAAACCGCCAGTCGCTATTTTTCCTTCAAAAAAAAAAAAAAAAAAAAAAAAAAAAAAAAAAAAAAAAAAAAACACTTTATTTGAGTGTCAATGTATTTAGCATGAAAGTGCTAATTGGGGACACTATATTTTATGTCTCCTAATGGAGACAGGATCGCCATTTTATGTGGTCATCCGAGGCACGCGAATGTCTCACTGCTTGCAGTGCAAAGGAAGTACCTTTATTTCTCAGTTATTTTAAGACCCTAAGTAATGGTCTGGCCCCGGGAATCGAACCTGCAACCTCCCGCTTGGCAGTCAAACACTCTACCGGCTGAGCTAATCCTGCCACAGTAGACATTGTACAACTTTGCAATAAGTTTGATATATATATATATATAATATATATCGTAGGCAAATCTTATCCACAAGTAAGACCTTCTTACACCTTATGTGTCAAAATATTGTTGTGGCAGGGGGTGTGAAATAGGTACAAAGTTGTCGCATGTCATCTTTGAGTAACATTATTGGTTTGCTGCAGAGCAGGTGACCACAAGCTTTTTTTGCTATGGCTGTTGTCTTGGTTGAGGAAACCAATTTGGTTTGGCTGAAGCATCCTTCCTTCAGGGCCCCCAAGGAGGCACTGAGATTGCTACAATAAGGGTGTACAGACATCCTGGTTTCTTGAGTAGTATGTACATGAGTTTTATTGGAAATTATTTTCTACTGTAGGTTATACCTATTGAGTCAAGCATGGCAGAAAACAGACCTCGTTTCCCTTTGTACCTGCACTTGACACTAGCAATTGTCTCATGTATCCTTGGATCATTTGGATTGCTTGGCTATCTGATTTATGGCAGTGGGGTCCCTCAGATCGTGACCTGCACCCTGGGGACACAAATACCAGCACAACTGGTCAGAATCACCCTCATAATTGCCGTGTTAATGACATACCCTCTTCAACTGTACCCAGTCATTGAAATTGCCGAGTCAATTTTCTTCACCAAAGAGCATTCACGAACAAGATCTCACCTGAGTGAGATAGTTGCTGGTCCTAGTACAGATGTAACAAGCAGCCAACAGCCATCTATAAACTCTTATGAAAGTCAGTCTTATCCTTCACTTGAAACCTCCAATCATACATCCACAAGTATCAATTCTGAGACACAAGTTCTTCTACCAAGTGATTCTGATGAACTTCAGTATAAGGTACAGGCTTATATAGTCTTTGAAGGATGGGTAGTAGATCAAGTGTTTTTTTGTTCCGTGTAGAGGTGGGCTTGGAAGGCTTGGGGGTATAGTTGGGATCATGTCGTACTCAAGGGGTGCTTATAACCATGTAAACCATCCATCAGGTTGAAGATCTCATATTGATGCCTAACAATGAATTTTTACATTTTACATTGATGGTACTGCGTATTCAAATCAGCTGCAGAGACTTAAAATTAGACCTGTTGAAAAGTTGTTTGTCTCAAATGACAGTTCATAATTATTTTCTGAAGCTTCAGAAATGAATGAAGTGAACAATTTATTGGAATTCCTGACCTACCTCCTTGTAAAGATCTCTGCTGACTTACCTTATGTAAGCATTTTTTTAAATCTTATGTAGAATGTAGACTCACTGAGTGTAAGTATTAGGTTATGGCTTGCATGTATGCCATTTTCCCACTAACAAAACATGTATAATGGTAACTTGAAGTCTTGCTTTAAAAATGTGGGATTCAAATAAGCTTAACCCATGCTTAAATTAGTGGTAAGTTTGCTGTCATCAAAATTAGTACTAAGTAGGTCTGTAGTTTTAATTATTTACAGATGAATGGGCATTATTCTTTATGGAAAAGAATAGTCACTTTTCTTATTTTCTTTTGTACTGTACTTATATTTACTTTATAGGCCCTACTTGTAAGTAAATGGGCAATTCCACGTAAGACAATGAAATTTTTAATTTTTTTAAATAAAATTTTGCACTATAAAACTTATACTAACAGAAAGTTGAGACAATGGGGTGTTTGAAATTACTGAGATCTTGTGCATCTTGTCCACGTGCTTAATGTGAGAAGGAACGAAATCCGGAGAATTTGAATCTCATCATATTTGGAATTTTTGGAAGGAAATTTTAAACAAAGTTTTTACATCTAAGAAAACATGACAATAAACATTAAAGTATGTGTGCATAACCTTTGCCTTACACTATCATTAGGCCATAAATTATTATATCCAGCTACTGGCACTTTCCTAAGAAAATAGGTATTGAATTTGTGTTGCGGACATTACGTAATGTCCGCAACATTAAGGTACCTTTTTTCAGTTCCTCTACACAGTTCACTGTATTTTCATGTACTATTGATGCTGCTCAGTTAATCTGATATATACTTTATTTTGATCTCAAAATATTCCCTGGGTCGGCTTTCTCTGCTCAGAAATTATAAGTTGAAAAGTGTTGCGGACATTACACATTGGTTTTATAGACTTAATACGCCTTAGAATCCTCTTTCAACTTTTTTCTAAATTTTCTTGACCTTTCAGTGCATGTCTTGGGCATTACAATTGACCTTGTTTACAATCAACTAAAATGAATTTTTATTTAGAGGATTGGAAAAGGACAAATTGAGTAGCTGGTCAGGGGTTTGGTACTGTTGAACATGCCCAGAACTCTTTGTAAGTATGCTTTTTGAGGAAAACAACTGACCATCATTGTTTCTTCTGATTTTCTACTCACACTTCAACAAGTATTAATTTTTAAGTAGAATTCGTAATGTAATAATCTTAATGTAGTAAACAATGTGCAATTTTAGTGCAAATTTATCAGACTGAATGACAAGAAATGATAATTTTTGTTAAGCTAAATCATTTTCGGAAAAAACAAAATAATCGTCTCACTGCTGAGGGTTTTTTTCTCACAACATTTACTTGAGATGTAATAAAATTAATTTTGAAATCATTTTAAGGGGTCAGTATAGCAGAAAAAATCTGACTGGCATTACATGATACTAGGTCAGCAGGAGATTATATAATATTATAATAGAACATATTAAATAAAGTAAATAATCATTTCACAGCTTCATTTTTAGTCAAGTAACTACAGAAAAAATTGACATAGCCGCAGTGAGTAACACTGACTAGAAAGTGAATGATAAAAAATGTGTTCCCAAAAATGTAATGTCCGCAACATTTATGTGTAATGTTCGCAACACAAACTTTTGTTTGTAGAATCATTGGAACAAGGTTGTATGGAATTTTTTTTTGATGGTTAAAAAATTTAATTATTGCCATGTTTTGAGGGCACAATTATTTTCTGCTCAAGGTTAAAAATTCATAGGGAAATATCTTTAAAGAAAGTTACTTTAAAAAGTGGTTGTTAAAAATGTATTGCCGAAGCACAGTTTCCTCAACTCACATCTTCAAGGTCGTGAGAGTTCACTAAAGCATCTTTTACTAGGTACAAAGGGAACACTAAAGTTTGTTTCTAGATATGTTTGAACACCCTTGCTGAAAATTTTGACGTTTAAATTGGGGTTTAAAATGTTAATTTTAGTATCTGAATGTAATGTCCGCAACATGGAATCACCCAAATACACTTTGTCCTATTTCTTAATTTCTAGTGCATGTATATTTTGTTGCTTCCTTTTCGTTCCCCGTTTCGGAAATATTAGCCACTCTTAATCCATGTTTTTTCCATTCTGCTTAAAACCTACTACTGGCATATTTTGGTTTACCTTGTACAATAAGTGATAACCTGTTGTTATCTTTGTTCCTTAGACATCAACTTGGAAGAGGAATTTGCTGCGTACCATTCTTGTCATTGTGACTGCAGGAATTGCAGTTCTTCTAAAGAGTCAATTTGCCTATGTGAATGCACTGATTGGATCATTAGGCAGCTCAGTATTAGCATACATTTTACCCTGCATTTTTCACCTTGTTCTGTATAAACACACTAATTCTGTTGGGGTGGTTATTAAGAACATTATTTTTATAATATTTGGAGTTGTAGGAGGGGTGGTGGGTGTTGTTATCACTGTACAGAACATAGTTAAGAATATGAAATAATTCAAAGTCACTCAAATTTAATTTAATAATTTATTAGAGTCTTCTTCTTTTCAAATTTATGTCAAGGGCAATGCTGTAGTTTTGTGATTTTACATGTAAATAGTTTTGGTATCTTGTAGAAATTTGTAAAATTTGTTGTGGTTCCAGAAAATGTCCATATCCACACCATGGTATAGATTTCAAAGGAAGGTACCTGTATGAAGCTTAAGTGATATTTCCAAGAGGGAGAGGAGGGAGGTGTGAGGGGTCTCAATCAACAATTCCTGCTATGGGGGGAGTATGATGTGGACATTTCCTGTAACATGATGCAGCAATATTAAAAAACTTAATCTTTTTGAATTTCTTGTTGACTGAGTTTCACAAATTAGAGATCCAAATACTTTTTGTCATACACTTTTAGATGCAAATGTACAAGACTCTTGTTTATAAGTTAGTAACAGTGGTTGAAATTGGCAAAATTGTAATTTGTAATTTTCTGCATGTTGAGGGAAAATAACATACAATCAAATAGTATTTTAAAATACAAGTAATTTTATCCAATGAAAAGTTTGGTACTTTTTTCCTTTTTCTAACAAAGCTATCCAACAAAACAATATAACTTTGTACTATAATAATAAACGATAAAGCACTTGCCCTATGTAACATGATACAGTCACCATACAGTTCTATTAATTTTCAGTTCCTAGTCATGTCCTTCGTGTAACTAAAACACAATACTCTGTACTCTATAAATGTACACAAGAGTGATAATTTTCAGCGTAAATGAGACAGAAAAAGTAAGAGTATTTATCATATCACCATTGAAATACCAGGTGAGCTTTCTTGCAAAAACATATTTTCACATGTTAAAAGATCATCATTGCTATGGTTAAAAAGATTTGCACCTTTCACAGGTAAAAAAAGGCAAAATATGAAAGTGAAATGGTTTGTTTTTTCTTTGGTGTTAACATATTGAACAATAGAACAAACATTACATGGCCGCTTGGAGGTATGAAATTTCTCTTCAGCTATATCGAAAATTATATTGTGTATTTCACTTGATTGCAAACACTCAAAGAGAAAGTTTGTACCTTCGAGCTATCATGTAATATCCTCTATGTATCTTGGGCATGAAACAAAAACTCACTCATATTCGTCTCATCAGTTACCATCAGAGTGACAAGAGGCAGCTGTATTTTGCAGTTCTGTTACTATAAAGTTTGATATCTGACTATTAAAAATCAAAGGTGCGACTCTCCAAAGAAAGTTAGTAGTTCTTGTTCAGGGCTCAGTTTAAATTTATGATATTATCATACCAGGGGAGATTAATAGTATGACAAAGTACTGGTTTACAATTATAATAATATATGAAAAAGTCAATGAAAAAGAACAATTTTCAATTTATGGTAGAATTTCTGTAGGTTTTAGTTCTAGCTGATTGATATTTTCATAGTAATTTATTTCTCCTTTTTGTTATTCAAAAACCAGAATTTGATGGTTGTCTTACTATTATGACCTCTCTTTTGTGAAGAATCAAAATAAAATAAAAGTAGTTTATGAATTTTTATTGCAATCATTGAGTCAGGCCTGGGAATGATTGTCCTGTATGGAGATGATCAATGTATTTGTTCCACAAGCTTGTGACTGGTAGTCATGCATACATGTGTGTGAAGTTGCAGCTACAATATAACAAGCCCCTATTTTAAACTACACTCTGGTAATAACAAAAGGCATCCTTCTCCCATTTACTCTGAAATGTATGGAACAGGACCGTGGTTCTTCAAGAAGTCAAAATAATTATGGCAATCTTGGATTCCGGCAGAGTGGGTAAAATGGGCCTATCTTGCCCTCCCAGGATTTAACCCATTTTGTCCCTCAGGAGAAGATTTTGTTTTGGCTATACAATACATCCTTTATTGACCCATGATGGCGGTTTATTGGCCAAGTTCTTCTACTTTGCATTTTTCTGGACCACGAATGAAGTTGAGGTCGATAAAATATGGAAACAAAACCAACAACCCTGGTCAACAACACATATAATTTATAATGGGTGATTTTTCCACTTCCTTCCAGGTTTCAACTGTAGACTGACACATTTAACAGAAACATTATAAACAACCTAGTCATGTTGGGTTCAAGTTGAAAAATGATACCTTAGGCATGAGATTCTTACTAGTATTAATTTAGACATCCCTTTTATCGTACACTCCTCATGAAGATATGAAATTAATATTATTAGACACATTTACAGTCTAAAGGTTTATTGGAACTTGCTCAATGATGAACAAGCAACAGCTCATAAAAATAATATTATTGTCAAATACTTTATTACAATATAATTATATGCTATAAGTAGTAACATTAGTATCTTTGTACACAGAATTTAACTGCACCCATTTCAAGCACAATGCTTCTTTTAGAACTTTTCAACAGGTTCTAATTGGCGTTCTTTAAAAAACTGGTGTTTCTGACGGTCATTAGAATCATATTTAGGTGTAAAGAAAGAAGTGATGGACGCAGTTCCTTTTGCTGCTTCATCTTCATCATCGTCATCATCGTCCCTGTTATTACATAAAATTTTTTATTACAATTTTCATTAGGATATATTGAGGAGACGGAAAACATAAAATAAATGGGGAGTTACTTCTGTACCTTTGATATTCTTACGGACACTTCAGTAGCTACATAAAATCTGACTAGTCTGACCGAATAATGCTGTCTTGCCAAAAGCAAAATTCAAGAAACTTTTTTTCCAAATACGCCATTTGCACAATGACATCGTTCTACTAATACAGAATCCTTCAGGGTTTTGCTTTCTTGTTTAAATTAGGGCTTTTGTTATTTACATGTAAACATTCTGGGATGACCAAATTTAAATATGAAGGATTTTAGTGTTAGTAGTTAAATGACTCCATCATGCAAATGGCCTGTTGCATCTTGCAAAACACTAAAATACTGAAGAACAAATAGCATCATGTGCCAACATGTTTCATTTGAAAGGTTTCAATGGCAGATTTTGGTCCTAACTAAAAGTTAGAACATAAGTACATGACAAATGCCTTGAATCAATGGACCTAATTTTTATCCATAAGGAGTACCAGTAATTAGAATCATAATATTGGAGTTTGTTCAACTTACCAATGTATTGCAACTGCTTTACTGTCCAAAATATTACTGCAGGTTGACCAGCTGAATCGAACAAGTTGAGGAAAACCAAAAACCTTGTCTATGGACTCAGCTAACCATTTTTTGGTTGTAGGATCTGTAAAGAATGACAACAGATTATGGTAACCATGGTGACTGGTCTACTTTGCACACACAATTTTACATAGTATGTGCCAAGTATTCTCACTTGTGGTGATCTGTTTTGCTTGCAAGGTATATGTTAATGTAAGGTTGAAGCTATATGAACACAAGATATTTTGAAAGGCTGGGCTACAACCTCACAACATTCGTCGTAGAAAAGAAAACCTGGAAAGTGTTACCATGAAGGAAACTTTACTAAAAAACTTTAGCTTTGCATTTTTACTCAAAATCTATTGCTAATTTCAGCATCTATATTAAATACTCTTGACTAAAACGGCATTTCATCTTATATCCAGACACTTGGAGGTTGTTCTTACTAAACAAACTTGGTTACACCACATATAAGAATGTTTTACCTGATGGATAACCAGATCCATGTTCCTTGTTAAATTCAATGTTTTCCAGAAATTTCCATTCTTTAAGAATTTTGTCTCGAGCAACCTGGTAAAAATAATGTTTGAGACATCAAGCACATAAAACCCTTGCTATTGATTCTACGACACAGCAAAGTTACCAGTGGCCACTCAAGCACACAAGTTTTCAGCATGCTTAATTGCCCAACTATACAATACAATACGATCATAACGTTTTATAAAAACAAATGATTCTCAAGGGTTTTGCAAATGGATTAGTAACATTCAAGTATTTTAACAATCCATCTACTCAGTAAAGAATTTTAATAAAAACGTTAGGAAACTGCTCTCGTCTTTAATTGGTCTATTTTGAAACAAAATTTTGAGTTATTACCTTTGCACAAATACTAGCTGCACTCACAACAGGAAACTTGGCATCAGCCTTTGGTGTGACAGTAATCTGGAGACCAGGAAATATCTTCTGAAGTTTATCTTGGTATTTTTCAGCCACTCCCACAGTGTCAACATAAACCTAAAACATTTTAAAGACTTTATTATTAACTTAAATTAGCATGCTGCACCTCTCTACAAGTACAGTATACACCTACTGAGCCATATTGTTATCAGGGTTCAACAGTATAAACGAAGGTACATTGTCATTCATTCTTTCATTGCAGACTTAATGAACTTTATTTTATGCAGATTTCTTGATCATGCTGCAAGAAAATACTCTTGTTTGAGGAATAAGTAAACACTTGCCCTAATTTGTATAAGGAACTAGGAAAGACAAGAAAAAATTAATGATAAAATTTAAAGACTTAAGATACCACATGCCTACAAGTTTAGATAACTTTATATCCCTACCTCATGTACATTTATGTTGTTTGTGAGAAGAAGGTTAATCAAGCCAATGGCTGTATCATGTGAAACTTCATTCAAACTGTACTTTGTCCTTTCAAAAAAGTGTGGAATAGTATTAGTATTGGTAGTGATCTATTTAAGGGCAGGGGATGGGGGATTTCCCCTAGCTACTATGAGCATGAACCCTGGCTACTTTTACAGGCAGTAAAAGGAACGTAGAACCAACACAATATCTTGATAGCTGTTCAACTCCATGCTACATGTAGTACCTTGAAATCTCGAGTGACAGCTCTGGAACTGATCAAACATTCTTCAGGCTTAACCTACAGCTGTATTAAACCTTGTCCATCTATACTAGACACTCTCATTTTACACTTCATTATAGAAAAGACATGTCCAACCACAGGGCTTGAAAAAAAAACTTGCATTCCAGCTCGTCCTTTGGGCAACCAGCTCTTACATTTTGACTGCCCAAGGCCACTTTTTGCTCCTCTTTTAATAATGTTACTGATTTTGTGAGAGGATGACTTGTCTAGACCCTTGCCCACTGGGCAAGAAATATTAGAAAGTTAATTGCCCAGCAAAAAAATCTAGTTTGTCCCAGACTACTAGATGGGACTTTTTTTGAGCCCTGCACCAGGTCACCCTTTTTGTCGGACAAACATTATATTTACTTTAATTTCTTAAGTTACTATATAAAATTCTTCAGCAACAAAATTATAGTCTTTGATAGCAGTCCGGTCATCATGCCTGACCGACCACAGGTACATGTACACAAACATGGGCAGATTTTAGCTGGACATTAATTGTGCAATGTTTACAAAAAAATGTAACTGTTATTTGCTAAAGTTACAAAGAGGTACACTGTAACTTTAACAGTGTGATTTAAATGAAACAATTATGAGACAAAAAAAAAACTGTTCTTTGCAGTCACGAAAATACCACTTCAAAGCTTGTTTTCAAAGAGGCAGGGAAGATCATTCTGGCAGTAGACTTCAGAGAGTTTTATCTGACTATAAAATATCTAGATGATCCAAGGATTTTACCTTTTCAGCATACTCTTGGACAAATAGTTTGGTGACAAAATATTTATAGCCCAGCCTATAAACTCTTTGTTTTCATCCACAGTTTTAAAAAGTTCCTCGCGTTGCTCCTCTGACAGGGTTTTTGAATCTGGAAAGAATAGAGAAATCCTATGAAAAACAGCAAAGTCTCTCTGACACCACAAGTTGTCCTGGGCACATTTTAATCACAAACTTTATTGTTTACAAACTCTGGAGTGGGTTGGTTCCCTATGAAGTTTATCTGATATTGAGATCTGCAGCCTTAGTCTTATTTTTTTCCATGTATTGACTTAATTTCTGGGGAGAAAAAAGGGAAAATAAAAGGTTGACAGAAACTGTAAATCGCGCACTTCCCAGTACATTTTTCAGTTAGCTCACATAACCAGTTACTGAGGCACCCTCTCAGGAACCAAAGTTAGTGTCTGTGCATTTCTCAGCAGGAGTATTTTGCAGAACACAGAACGCTAAATGCAGAATGCAGAACGCCAAGTGACTCAGAAATTTAGTGATTAGGGTTAGGAAACTGAGTGAATCAGGTTCCATTTAGGGTCATTATACTGGGAAAATTGACCTGAAACTTGATTCACTCAGTTTCCTAACCCTAATCACTAAACTTCAGAGTCATTTGGCATTCTGCATTCAGCAAAATACCCCTGCTGTCTTCCTTTGTCCCCACCCCCAAGAAAAAAATAAAATGCCAATGTCAGTAGCCTGTATCACAGACCCTCTATTTTCTCTTCAAAGTACATCTAGCCCGGGTGATAAAATATAAACTGCAGGGGATTTATTGACCACCAGTTCAAGGGGGTCTATAGACGTTCTTTATTTTTCTTTCTTGCGCTCTGTGCTCATTCTTGCATGCTTGCTTCACTCATGAGCTCGCCGATGTTTTTCGAAAAGAAAGAAAAGAAAAATAAAACAACGTCTGTGTACAGGCTACCATGTCAAGGGTTAGCCATGTAGATACACTGGAATTCACTGATGCACAATTTTCTGACGAGCATCTCCATGGGAGTTCCCCAGGGGTCACCTCGCCAGCAGAGCCTTTCTTTTGCTTGCTTCACTTTGGGGTACTCAAGTAAGACTCTGCTTGAATTGAGTAAGGTCTTTGTTGAGCATGCGCTGCATGTTGCTATCATACAGTTTTGAACCCAGGCCTAATAGCCGTCCGTGTGGTACAATAGGCTCAGTCATGACCATCAGTTTATCAATAAAGGGATACTTGCGTTTGATAAAAGAAGATTGACTAGTCCAGGCCTCGGTTGTTCAAGGCTGGATAGCGCTATCCGCTGGATAAATCTCTATCCTGTGGATAGTACAATTATTAGTTTCCCCAATACTTATCCGCTGGATAGCGCTATCCAACGTTTGAACAACCGGAGGTTGCGGACACTTCAAACGCTTGACGCGATTCAGCCAGAGCCTCCTCACTCTCCTCCTTTTCCAAGAAGACAAGAGGAGGCTCTTTTCGCAGGGTGCCTTGGAGTCTGACACGTACCATATTCTTGACTTTTAGCCTTATAATGAGCAATCATTTTAATTCTTATACGGACTTACCTGCCAAACCAAGATTTTTAACTTCTTCTGCTCTTGATATTGGATAATAGCAAATTCCATAAACCATTGGCCCTGAAAAACAGAGACTGTCCATTATAACCTTTAGCTAAGTTTGCTCTACAATAGTTCTTAAGCATTCTGGCTACATGCACTGTTAAGTTAAAAAGGCAAAAAGAAAGGAATCTTTTACCAAGTACTGGCCCTCGGCCCGCTTCATCGATGCCAACACAACATGGCTCAGATAATGTTACCCCTGGAATAGTAGATTTTATGGTCAAATTTCGCGAATTATCTACATATGATTCCAGTTCCATGTTGAACAGTTTTTGGAGCACTGACCGTATTTCGCGCCCCGGCGCTGAAGATGATATCGAGGCTGACGAAGCTGTTACGAACTGTCATCGACGGTCATCGACACTCTCACGGCTTCGCCGAGATTCGCCGAAAAGGATACGGCGAGTACGAGTCTTTTACGGAGTGTACCGAACACTTATCGATCGGAAGTTCTTCAAACGCGCGCGATTAGATGGTTTTGAAATGAAAGTGGCCAAATGGCTTGTGTAGCTAGTTGCGAAGAAGATGTTTTGCTCTTGTGTAGGAAATACGATATTTCAAGACCGACAGTACATGAAGTCATGAAAGATGCCGAAAAACTCAATAAAACGTTTGAATCTCGTTCCATATCTTTGATGCTGGAGGTTAGGTTAGTTACAGCTCTTGCAAATCACCCGTGTCTACTCCCAGAGAATCCTCTGAATGCTGAGGTTCAAGTGAATTCTTTGCTTCCCTATCTCTCCTCGCCTTGTCGCTGGGTTCGGTCGTTGGCTTGTAGTCTGTTGAGAGTATTCACCTTAGGATTGGATCCTAACGGACAGCACTTTGAAACACAGGGTGAGAAAATCAATACTCTACTTTTTGGGATTGAAGTAAGGGGGCCATTGTTTCGTTGCATTATCTATCACGCACAATAAGTACTGTAGCAAGTGATCAGTGTTCAGTAAACAATTTAAATTTCAGGTTTTGGTAGAATTGGGGGTAGTGGGGGGAGTGGGGAGGAACTTTAGGGATTTTCTGGTGGAATGCACCATTTGGCCCCTAGAACTTTGCATATATGCATTTAGTAAAATCCAACTAGTGGTCTATTATCAATGCTGCGTTCTGATTGGTTGAGCTACTACTAGGAGTAGGCTATATGTTATAGCCCACTAGTGGCGAAAAGCGCTGGCTTTGAAAACCAAAACAGTGGTGGCTGAATCGGGTTTTGCAAGCTACTGTTGTTTTGTCTCGATATTATTGACCAACTATTTGAATTTTACTAAAACAATAATTTATTATTCGTCTCACCCTGATGGGCTTGAGGAATAATTGTTAAATACCAGACTTAGATTGTGTCAATTCCCAGTAATTCACAGTTTCCTAATTCCAAAATAACATCTTAAACCAATTAATCAGTTTCCTGGAAAATATCCTATTCCAGACCCAAGATTTATGATTTCTATACCCTACCCCAGACTAAAAACTGTGTAAAAACCATACCCTGCATAGCGGCACATACCTATATTGCCCATATATGGAAGTACCTCCCCCGGGGGTAGTATCATCCAGTTTTGCATTGTTTACCCAAGTGTACATATGAGAACTTACCTCAGCAAACTGTTGGCTTTACTGGCTTGCCCTCTTCAATGGGAGAGTCTATCATCCTCATCATTACATCCAAATAGACCTCTTTAGTTTGTATGTTTTGTTTTCCTAACAGAGGTCCCAGGGGATCTTGGCCTTTTGTCTTTTCATAAATTATGCGCAGATATGCGCCTGAATGAGATGAAATTTGATAGAAACAGCTCTCTAGAGTATTATCACATGACTTGTATTGGGAAAACAATACTTACAAGCTGAAGGGGTCTATTAACTGTTCTATAATTTTGATTCATTAGTAACAATAATATGCAAGAATCTTCAAACCACCTATGAAGACTGTTCCTCCAATACAAGGTAAAGTGCATAAACATACACAGTTTTATTACAGAAACTGCAATATTCTTTAAGACAGGGGTTGGAAAAATAGAAATCAGATACCACTTCACAATAGTTATTTAACCAGCTGGAGCCTGTACAACCATGCTTCATGGCTCTAGCTATTCATTTCTGGAAGGAAGTTTTAAAATAATATGTACATGTTAAGCCATTTTAGAATTATTTAACACTAGATTTTGATTTGTTTATCTCTTCACACAGGTTTAATCTCTGTCAGGTTATTGCCTGTTCTTCACTTTGTTCAGTTACTATTTCATGTGCTGCTCTCCTTCCTCTCACCGCAGTAAAGTTTGTCCTCTTAACCTTACGAACTGTTCTAAACATTCTGAGTGATCCTGTCAAATGTACAAGTAGCTTTCTATATCAGGTAAACCATAATAATAATATTATATGATAATTTGGAGAGACCATTTTCACATTGTTTTAAGAATGCTTCAGGATTTTGTTTTCTCATCAAATTAAGGACAGGTATTGTTGCTTAAGCCTCATCGGTATCAATAGATTTAAATAAGTAATGAATTCTGGTTCTTCTAGTAAAATGTAGGCTTGATTACCAGCTGTTGTTTGGGAAAGTTAGCCCAGCTCATCCCCGAAAAGGAACATAGCCCAGACTCAAGAGAGTGGTAGAGATTGAGCCTAAGAAAAATGATGCTATCACGAAAAATTGCCTTTTGCCAACAGTAACATACTCTAGTGTATACCCTTTTCTGCAAAGAGGGTACCTGTGTATCAGTTAATAAAGGTGTGCATTGCATGTTGTTCAATATCAAGTTCAAAGTAACCTCCACTGTTTGATTTCCTTGGTCACTGTTAGGGCTGTCATTAAGAGCAGTGGGCCTGGGATTTTCCCTGGCTACCATAAATTAATGTGGCCCCTGGCTACTTTCATTCAGGGAAAATAGAAGAAAAATAGAACCAAAAGAAATCCCTAGCTATTTGATTCCCCACTGACTAGTGGTATTTACCCGGCAACTTAGTGTCAACCCTGCACTGTCCTTAGTATGTCACCAATTTGCTTCTTACATAAAATGCTTAGCAATGATAATGAATGTAGAAAGGCAGATGGTCTGGATTTTCCCTAAAGCACACTGTATCAGTTTTTTTTCTACTTCTTTACAGTTACGAGAATAAACACCTCTCTTCTTTTAAATGCCTTCTTTCTCTTAAACTCACCCTCTCGGAGCGACAAAATTTAGTGGGCGTCTTTTAGATCATTTACGGTTGGGAGCTTGATTTCCAAATGGAGCGCTTGATCAACCTAAATACAGCAGCTCTTCAATTTCTGTTGATAGGTTGCAATAGATGGGCTGGCCAAACTCTTCAAATGTCCTGCAACATGGAATTCTTTATCTGTACTCGAGAAGCGGGATGCAGTAACAGAATATCTGCAGATATTTTTTGACCAATCACCATCTACATGTAAGACTGTTACTGACACAACAATGGCAAAGATGCTTGAAGTCTTTGACAATTCAGATGTGTTGAGTCTCATACTGAACTTGCCAGACAGCAGACAAACACTAAAGAAATTGCTCATAATGCTGTTGGAGTTATTACCCCCAATCTCTACATCAAATGGTAAGTTGAAAATGTACTCAAAATATACTCACTGGAGATTTTTTTTTTCTGTCTACTTTTGTTTTCTCCACATTAAAACCCAATAAACACTTAGTATGCATAAAATTAATGGTTTGTTGTCTTCTGGACAACATGATATAATAGCTAGGATTCCACAAAAGACTAGGTCAGAATCAAACTAAGCAGTGCCAGGTTCCCTCTGCTTGAAACATCAAAATAAAGGCTTTTATTTAGCTCTCTTAAGGGGGGAGTCTAGTTAAAGGCAATGTTTTTTGTTTATTTCCGTCCTTTTTCTTAAATATCTAGCCAAGATTTCATTCAATCAAAAAATGACTCAGGTAGGTCTGGAGTCCTTGGTTCAATAATTTTTGGAAAAGTTTTTGATGTTTTTTCGAATGGTTTTAGTGTAAAAATATTAGGGGAGGGAGAGTATTAGCAATTTTGGAAAATTGGAAAATATTGGATTTAGGGTCGTTAGAAATTAAAACATGAAGTGAGTAAGAAGTAGACAATTACCAGATAGTCGAACACCACCACAAGGTGCTATTAGCGGACTAACTGGTTTATCTGTACATGTATACCTTTCCTACCCTAATTTATTTCTTTCCCAAATCAACATCATTTCCCCCAAAAAAATTACCCAGACTGCTCCCTTAACAGACTAAGCCTTAGCTAAAACTAACACCTTGAGCTGTTTCCTTCTGTTCTTTTATCATTTTCGTGTTGGACTTTCAAACTTGGGGATGCCAGCCAGTCTGGTCCAGTCGTAATGACAATGTCACTGTCAATCATAAGTTTCCAGCCAAATCATTCCATTCCTAAATATTATGCACTGTAGTGATGGGTTTGGCTTAACTACAGAATACCCTGCCACTTTAAAGCAACTCCATGGCTTTTTAGCGAAAACTCTCAAAGAAAGCGTATTTCGTTTTTGCAAAGACCAGCCAGCCGGCCAGTTCTGACTTACGGTAAGCGCCTTTATTTTCGGTCCCAACGTCAGCTGACTTAGCCTGTGTACCTGAGGTTTTTCTCGCATGCGGCGAGAATTCCACTGGTTTTTGACTGGTTCGGCATGGAAAGCACCCATCATTTAGGTTACATTTCCTCTACCTAGTTTACCAGTGTCGTTGGGGGCAGCCACGCCATTTCTTACATCCCCCGCGTTTTCCAGGATACGCCTCTCTTTGGTGTTCTTTGCCAAATATGCCCAATTCACACCAACAAGTTTATTAGCTAAACCAAGTTTACCAAATTGATGATTGGTAAAAGAAAACTGAAGGACTGGCTTTTACATAGAGTTCAAGTAAATCTTGGCTTATGAAATCACTTGTACCAAATTTGTTGTTGACAGAAATCATTAAGCAGCTATTTATATCCCCCAAATCCTCAAAACACGAACTGGCAGTGAAATGCTTCGTACCTTTTTTCTTTCAGAAATCCCGCTCCTCAACGTTCGCTGGAAATCGCTGAGCGTCATTTATAAAATGATTCAGCTTGTTAAAACTCATGACTTTTCTAAACTTGACAGTTTATTTGATAGAGCTTGCTGTGACCCCCAGCAAATAAGTCAACTTAAGACAGTTTTAAGAAACACGTTTACAGATATAACATTTTGACCCCTGAAGACGCAACCCCCCCCCCAAAAAAAAAAATTTTACTCGAGAATTTCCAAATATCTTACCCCTCTCATCGCTTATTCATTGGGAAAATTTATCTTGTCGGTACTTTGGTCTTCCCTATTACCAAATGTTTGCACTTCCAATCCTCGCACAATTAAAAGAGCTTGAAAAGCAGCACAAAAATTTTTTTTTGGAAAAAAAAAAAAACGCTGTAAGGAGCGCTGTAGCTATAAACCCGACAGCAGGGAAGGGCCATTTTAAAATTGACTTAACTACCCGGCAATCAGAGAACGATTTTTCAGAATTTCTTCGAAATCCCTTTCCCTATTGAACCTCTTGAAAGTTAACCTGAGATCAGGCCCAATTTTAGCAGCTTTTTTTGAAACATTCTCTCATACGTGGCCTCGCTAAAAATTCTCTTCGTTCCGCCTTGCGCAGTTGCTCGCCGAAATTTCATCCCACCAGGAGCCGATTACCAATCGCCCAATAGTACTCGGCTCCTCATCCCACCAAACGAAACGAAAATAGAACCTGATGTCAGGTTGCTTAAGAGTATTCTGTCTTCTGATGGAATTACCGAACGATCACGAAAACAAGAGTTTTGTGGTCTTGCCGCTGAGCAGTTGTGGTTTATTGGGCATATAATGAAGTCGACACCGTGTCGAAAAATTTCGCGTGTAGCCCGTGCTTGATTAACGGGCACATTTTCACACGAGATGACGGGATTGAGGGACCGTTGGGCACCCTCTGGAGCTCAGCTCTGCAGCACAATAATATATGTATTACCTATTTCATTTGAAGTTTTTCCCGATGAGTGTCTTAAATCTTTCTTGATTCCTATTTGGCATAGATTCCTTATAATTTTTTCTCCATTATTTTTGAGAAAATTGAAAAGCATTTTATCGAAAACAGTGAAGAATTGTAGATTTGTGATTGCTGGGATGTAAAAGGATGGGTGGGGGCTGAATTTTGCACTCTACTTTGACCGGGGAAGAGAGCTGGGCCCCATGGCAGGTTAGCACTTTCAAGGTAGTGCAATGAAAAAGCGTGATTGACCTCAGAAAATTTCTAACTACTTCCCTCGGAAGAGAGGTCGAGTTCAGACTTCCAAGCATTTTTTAATTACTTAAGAAAACAGATTGGAATGAGGTTAATTCAGCCTGCTTTATTTAGCTTTGCCTGTTTCGTGCTAGACTAGGCACGTATCCCAAATATCACACATCTTGCGTTGCACAGAAGAAATCTCCTGAGGTCTTGATCATCCCAATAGCAATAGATAACAAAATTTAAAAAAACTTTTTGAATAAAAAGTATAAAACGTGGCAGAAAAACGTTTGGCTCAACAATTCACATTGTTGACTGATGACGCCTTTCAGCTTTTTCAGCTTCCTTACGTGACATGAAATCTGAACTTTATACTAGCTTACACTAAAACATTTCGAACTCGGCCCGAGTGGGACGACGTCAAAGGGTACAGTTAAAATTTCGTGCAGTAGGAAATCAAATGGGAGATCCATTTTACTTCGTTTTGCATTTTTGTTCTCTTTTTTAAATAGTAAGATAATATTTGGACCAGAATTACTTCCATATGTGTTTAGATATTCAAAGGCGATTTGCTGTTAAAACGTTCTACAGGTAGTCACGATGCTTGACCATGAAAGACTGATGCTGATGTAGAAAGCTTCGTCATAAATGTACGGCCGCACATTATCGACACTAACCATTTTTATTACGAAAGGTCACAACTGATATTTTATCAAATCAAAACGAGAGTAAAGGTCTCGGAATGTCCTGATCTGGTTTTGTTTTCGCCATCTTGACAGCATAGCTTTCTCCAAACCGTATAAGGCAAACTCGAGATGTGTAGTTTTAAGATACACATTCTGATTTCTCTGCGCGTCTTAGAACTTATTAGAGGCAAACCGAGAGACTCAAAATATTTTTGCGCTCGTATACAAGGTTATTTTTGCCGTAGACAGAGCAGATACGTACTTTCATCTTTTAATCTGTACAAGCCACTGTCGCCTTGACAACGCTGAGAGGAACGCTGTTGATTACGTCAGTAATTATCACTCGTCGTTCTGGTTTTTCATCCTGTTAAAAATATTTTGAATGCAATAGGGTAAAAAAGATCTGAAATCATGACCAAATAAGGCGAAGAAATAATCCTGTGGTTTCCTCCGGGGTACATATTCTTTCGTAGTCCACTCTTGTTTTCACTTCTGTTCAGTTGGTCGTTGAGACGTAAGTACACGCCTGTGAAAGCTAGGATATTTAATTTTTTATCCAAAAACATACTAAAATGGCCGATGAAGACGTTGCTGCCTTGGTTGTGGATAATGGCTCTGGTATGTGCAAGGCCGGTTTCGCCGGAGATGATGCTCCTCGTGCAGTGTTTCCTTCCATCGTTGGCCGTCCAAGGCATCAGGGTGTGATGGTTGGTATGGGTCAGAAAGACTCGTACGTCGGCGACGAAGCTCAGAGCAAGAGAGGTATTCTGACTCTCAAATATCCCATCGAACACGGCATTGTAACAAACTGGGATGACATGGAAAAGGTAAGTCAATCTCTTAGTGCAAACATTGAAGTCGATTTTTTTTTACCCGAGATTTTCTTGAATTTCAGATCTGGCATCACACCTTCTACAACGAGCTGCGTGTGGCTCCCGAGGAACACCCAGTTCTTCTGACTGAAGCTCCTCTCAACCCAAAAGCCAACAGAGAAAAAATGACACAGGTAAATGTTTTAATTTGACTTTCAACCTAAACTGTACAAATCCCGCTACATATGAAACTTAAATAATTTATTTACGTACAGAATGATTGCTGTTATTCAAATTGACACACAATTAACAAAAAATTGGAATTTAAAAATTTCCCTTTCCTTTAACGCTATTCACAATTTTGCTCTTCCGCCGAATTGGAATATTAATTGCGAGCGTCGTTCTAATTTCTAACTCTTTGATCAGCTGTATGAAATCGGAGGCAAAAAAGGCAAACCCGCGAGACTGTCATGCCAAAAAATGAACAGTTACTGTTTTGCTCGTACGGAAATCAAGGCTCGTGCCGTGTAAAAAAAAAATGGCAATGTAGAATTAATGTCGTGAAAGCAACAACGAATTTTCTAACTTTACAAGTTGTCAGTTTAGCCAAATGATATCGAAAACAGTTATACTCCGACAGCCTTTTTCTATTTCGTGGTGTTTTCGTGACATTGCTATAAGGCAAGAGCGTCCTCAGCTGTCTGTATGTTGCGTTGCCTTTTATGGTTAAAGTTGCTCAGGATTGGTCAGATTTTGTTAAGGGCTCGATCAGGCGTTGTTTGTTGTTGGGATTTCCACAAAATCGTTTATTGATTATAACCAATCAATCATTATTTATTTGGCCCTCTGCTGGCACGCAGAGACAGACTGTGCAGGAAAAAGCAACTTGATGTTTATCCCCAGCTATTTAGAGTGCTGAAATGTTTAAAAAAAATGTCGGTATTTTCCTTTCAGTCCCAAAAGTGACTAAAGTCAAAATTCGGCCAATTTTCAAATTTCATTTTTCGAATGCTGAAAAAATAAACAGTACCAGATGAAAGTACTCGCAAAGAGGTTCAATTTGAATGGTCCAACTACAGCATTTTGCCACACTTTTAATGACTCCATCTTTCATTCTGGTGGCACGCCTGAAGTCAAACTTAATTACTATTACTAAGTGTCACGTACGTATATGTTGACGAAATCGTTTGGTGTTGCTATTAAAATGAAAGCTCCTCGGCGGTAAATTTGCATGGCATTATTCGCTTATAAGTATTTTTCATAATTAAGTTTGTGATGCTTCTTGAATTTTGGCAACTTTGGGAGTTTTTTTGCGTTGACCTACCGACCCGTGAAAAATACAGTTTAGTGATGTGGCCCTTCTTGGCCACATTGAGTTGAGATATCTTTTGCTTTGTTTAGTCTGTTAACTGATTTTTTTTTGTCTTCCTATTTTTAACAGATCATGTTTGAAACGTTCAACGCCCCAGCCATGTATGTCGCTATCCAGGCTGTGCTTTCTCTGTACGCTTCTGGTCGAACAACTGGCATCGTTATGGACAGCGGTGATGGTGTAACACACACAGTTCCCATCTACGAGGGTTATGCTCTTCCCCATGCTATCCTTCGTCTCGACTTGGCCGGCAGAGACTTGACTGACTACCTCATGAAGATTCTGACAGAGCGTGGCTACTCCTTCACCACCACTGCCGAGCGTGAGATCGTGCGTGACATCAAAGAGAAGCTGTGCTATGTTGCTCTTGACTTTGAGCAAGAAATGAGCACAGCCGCTTCCAGCTCCAGCTTGGAGAAGAGCTACGAGCTTCCCGATGGACAGGTCATCACCATCGGTAACGAGAGATTCAGATGTCCTGAGGCCATGTTCCAACCCGCCTTCCTTGGAATGGAAGCTGCAGGCATCCACGAGACAACGTACAACTCGATCATGAAGTGTGATGTGGATATCCGTAAGGATCTGTACGCCAACACAGTGTTGTCTGGTGGTTCCACAATGTATCCAGGAATCGCCGACAGAATGCAAAAAGAAATCACAGCCCTCGCCCCACCCACAATGAAGATCAAGATCATTGCTCCTCCCGAGCGTAAATACTCTGTATGGATTGGAGGATCGATCTTGGCGTCGCTGTCCACCTTCCAACAGATGTGGATCTCCAAACAGGAATATGACGAATCTGGCCCCTCAATTGTTCACCGAAAATGTTTCTAAAAAACTCGCGACTAGACGTTTCTACCCAAAATACTGTTTCCTCATACAGTGAAACCAACCACTTTGACTGGACAAAAATACGTCACCAGACAGCTTTAAAACAAAAAAAGTTTATTATTTACTATATTTCTTTGTGAAGCCTTTTTTTTGAACGACTCTGTAAGGTGCCAAATATTTTTAGGTTTTCAGTTTGTTTAAAATAAAAATATATTTTCCAAACATCTTACTGTTTGATGGGGCGAGGAATAATGCCATTAGCAAAGTCGCAGGTAAACCCACATAATAACAAACAAAAAGTAATAAGGAGGTGTATATTAAAAACTATGCGGAAATTTAGCCAATTCTAACCATTTTATCGACATTGATTTTTTTGTTTGGCCTTTCTATTTTTGTTCTTGTTTCTATGTGGCAATCTCTAAAGTACCGTAAATCCTCTATAAAGCCCCCTCCCTCTCCTCAAATAAGCTCCTCTCTCTATTTCGGGGGAAGAAAGTTAATAAGGCCCCCCTCCCCTTCCCTAATTGTTCTTCACTAATAAAAAATAGACTGTATTTCTCAATTACAACACTGTAAATGTCGTGTGGACTTATCCAGGATGGTTTATTCGCCATCTGGAAGTTCGGATTTGTTTTTGATCCTCGGCTGCATGACCTCCAACTTCTTGTACTTGAGTAGCCTGTAAAGAAAGACCGAGGAACGGGATTTTCGGTTTTAGCCGCGCGAAAAATGAAACGAGAGGCAAAAAATGAAAGAGGGGGGTGGGGAAGGAAGGAAACCTTTCCTTTCTTCCCCACTCCCTCCTCGCTCTCTTACTTGCGCCATTTTTCGCGTTTTCTTTGACTCTCGTTCTTCGTTCTTTGCCCCTAAACCGCACGTAAACGTTTGCTACGTAGGCTAGTACTTAAGCTTTTCCGCTTTGTATTCTAGTTCTTTATGGAGAACTGATACCACCGTCTTTTCTAAATAAATAAGCCCCCCTTCTCTAATGAGCCACCCTCAAATGAATCACTGAAAAATGAGTCCTCCGGGGGGGCTTAATAGAGGATTTACAGTACTAACTATTAGGGCATTGGAACATCCGTAGCCTGCACACTGACGTTTTTTTTTTTTGAGAATCGACGAGCACGCGAGCGAAGAGTGAGAACGAGGGCAGAATGCGAGAAAGAAAAAGAAAGTCTATTCTTTCTTTTCACCACCCCCAACCCCCAATCTGAAAATGGGAAACGCTAGCCTGCGTTGCTGGCGATTTGTTTGGCGAGAAGGAAAAACAAGGTGTGAAACGCGCGCGAACTAGCAGTGATAGTTGCTTTCGCTCCATTCTCCTCGCACTAGAGTTATTTTTTTTCCTTCCGCCATCAACGCCGGTAAGGCATTGTTCAATTTGACTTGTTACCATCCATCCGGGCAAGGGGCAAGTCCAGTCCTTTGGACCCGGTGGTGGGTAATTTTGGGAGCGGTCCCGCCCCAGCAGTTAGGGGGGAGGGGGGTTGGGGAACAGCGAAAACACCTTAACGCGCGGTTGACACAAAGGCGGCGGACCCCAAGACTGCTTATTTTCAAGGAAAAACGCAAGAATTCGTCGGAAAGTGGTTTGACAAGAAAAAAAAATAACTGCAAAAACCGTGGACGAAGATCCTACTGGTTGCATTGTCAACGATCTCTAGAAACTGAGATCTAATCAGCCAAAATATTAAGAACAAAAAGCGAGAAGTTTAAAGGCTACCGCAAAGGTGATCATAAAAACGTGTATTGCTCTTTTTTACAATATTTCCCTTTTTATATACTAAAACAGTGGATAGTGTTTTTCGGGCGCTCTGATTGGCTACTCAATCAGTGACTATCCTGCACTATTCACTGATTCACCTCCAGTTCCTCCGAGCGAGCGACGCCAAACTCGCGTAGGTTGCGAGTTTATCCGCCCTGGTTGCGAGCAAAATGCTTTCCCGGTTTGCTGCCGTAACAAACTAAGAAATTTTACAACTAATCAAGCAAGCTGTTTCCGAAATACATGAAGAAGGTGACGAAGTTCGGTTTGGAAGTTTTAACAGGTAAAGCTTTGTCTTTTTGACTTGAATAGTTATCGATAAAACCGGCGAAAAAGTTTTTTGTTTACAAATGCAAATTAAGACACAACTCCTTTTGAAGAAACTTCCCCGCAAGAGCTAAACAAACGCCTTCAAAAGTTTTATTTGTCGCTAAGAAAAAGCGACGACCGCGGCCGTTCGGTCATCGCGCGCCAAAATTGTAATCGTTGACAACAGTAAATGAGTTAAAAATCATCATTTTGTGCTCAATTATCTCACTGTTTTAGTATATACTAAAACAATTATTCACCTCAGTGTCGGTGACTAGTAGTTGATATTTACCTCGCCGCTTCACGGCCTCGGTAAATATCCAATACTAGCCACCTCCACTTCGTTGAATAATTGTTATCTATTTCGGCTGGCCATACCAGCCTTCTTCGAATTCATACAGCTGTTACTGAAGGCTGGTATGGCCAGCCGAGACATTGCCGTATAAAAAAAGCAATACTGCGTTGTTATGATCAGTTTTGCAGTATTTATTATTTATTTATTTATTTAATCGCTTTCACCATGATTACAATACTAAAAGAGACTACAATCAAAGGCTCCTAGGAGCGAGCTCATAGAGACGAGTGAAATTAGGGAATAATTTCACGCGGGTTTTGTCCAAAAAAGGAGGGACGGAGGTGCGGGACACACAACAGAGCGAGGCTCCAAATTAAGTGTGCCCTTACGGAAAATACACAAATACTAACTATGTAAACATTAAACATTATAAAAAGTATAAAACTCCCATTTGTAAAAACGATAAGAATGAATCCCTCCCGCAGCTGATAAAAAGTCTTAGTAGCAGCAGTTACCAGCTAATAGAAGATTACGTGACCTACTGCATTTGCAGCAGATCGACTTCCAGGTTGTTAAAGTTAGTGACGTCATAGTTTGTACGAAAAGCAGCCGAATAGCGTTGGAGTACGTGAGATTTAAACTGATAAAGAGAACTAAGAGTACGAGTGGATACAGGTAACGTATTCCAGAGTTTAGCAATACGATTAAAGTAACTAAATTGAAAGAGTTTTGTACGGCACTTGAGAATTAGTACGTCTTGATCAGAGCTATGGCGAGTGAGACGAGTGCCTTTAGGCTTGACATAATCAGCTATGGGTAAGGTGTAGTGGCCAGCGCGACACTTGAAATAGACAATTAAGTCTTTCACTTCATGCCAGTATGTTAACGGTAGCAGATTGAGGCGAGAAAGGCGCTCATGATAAGAAATATCCTCTTGCTAGTGCGTGTTTAAGATGAATTTTGTTGCCCTGCGTTGAAGACTCTATTTTTGTTATACTACCGATCGTACTGGGAGCCTATACCTCGCTAGCATAGCCAATATATGATCTTACAAACGTGAGATATAGTAATTTCCTATGGTCTGTAGTGCATGACATAACACTATTGCGGCGCAAAAATGCGAGCATCCTATTGGCCTTAGCTAAGATAGTGTTAATGTGAGTATCCTATGTGAGGTCCGGCGAGATAGTCACTCCGAGGTCTTTTACTTGAGTGACGTGTTTAAGTGAGTTGTTGTTCAACTTGTAGTCGTAGCGAAATGGGTGGCGCTTACGTGTGACCGTTAGTACCTCACATTTAGAGGTGTTAAACTTTATCGCTCCAATTATCGCTCCAGCCATGCAGACTGTCCAGGTCCTTTTGGAGTGACTCACAATCTTGTAGACTTTCAATGGCACTGGAACATTTTGAGTCATCAGCGAAGAGTGCGATACGATTCTGTATCACCGGTGGGAGATCGTTCACATAAACTAAAAACAGCAGAGGACCGAGGATACTGCCCTGAGGGACTCCTGATGGAACTGGAGAACGACTAGAAGTGAAACCGTGGACCAAGCACTGCTGTGGACCGTGTCCACCTAGATAGCTCTCAAACCACTGCAAAAGTTTCCCGCTTCCCGAGAGTTTCAGAAGCAGCCTTTGGTGGGAGACACTGTCGAAAGCCTTTGCGAGATCCAAATACACAATGTCCGACTGCAGGCCTTTATCTAGAGACTGGCCAATCTCGTGATAAAACGCCAGAAGCTGGGTGACTGTAGATCGACCCTGAAGGAAACCATGCTGTGCATTGTCAAACAAAGGACAGAGAAAATCCTTAAAGTGCTTGAATATGCATCGTTCTAATACTTTGGATACAACGCACAATAGAGAGATGGGTCTGTAGTTAGTAACGTCCTCCTTTTTTCCTTACCCTCCTCAAGAGATAAATTAAAGAGGACTCAAAGAGAAGGTGCTAGTTCCCTTGCACACGTCTTTAGCACGATTGTAGGAAGACCGTCAAGGCCCGGAGCTTTGCTCGGGTCTAAATTCAAGAGCACCTTATAAACCTCGTCTTCGCACAGCACTAAGCTGTCGAGGACGGGCATCCTATCGTAGGGCGGCGTAAATGCATCAAGGGGTACCTCTGGCGCATGCGTAAACGTAGAATAGAAATACTTGTTGAAGACTTCTGCCATCTCCGCTCCAGAGGAGATCTGTCGCCCACCGTACGTAACATTAGCTGGTATAGAGTTTGATTTGGTTTCATGGCGGAAGTAACTCCAGAAGTGCTTTGGATTGACTTTCATGCTGTCACCAAGAGAAGTGTGATACTCCTTTAACTTCCTCTTTATCAATGCCTTAGATTCTTTTCTTAAATTCCTGAACTGGTCCCCCACCTCCATGTAAACAGGCCCAGTCTTCCTGTGGTAAAAGCGAGTATCTTTCAGCGGTAGATGGAATAATTGTCTTGAGTAAACAGGAATGCCCCGATGAATTGAGCGGCTACCAACAATGCCGCGATGGACAATGCTTCCAATCGACCAGAAGAAGGATGACAATAGCTCATCAAATACGGAATTTATCCCATTGTTCATATGCAAAATGGTTGGATAACCGCGACACACAGTTGGAAGAGACCAGGAAATAAATGTTGAATTTTCGGCAGAGACTGTTGAAATTCCAGCCACAAAACCCACTACAGGAGTTCTCCAGGATCTTAGCCATACTCGTCTGTGATGTAGACTGCCAGAAGACCAAAAAGATAGGAGAAAAATAACAAAAACGGCAGAAAAATAACAGTAGTCTTTGGACGTCTCGTTTTTTGGACAAGAATAACCTACCGAAATTAAAATTTGTATTTGAAGTTCTGTTTATGCAGTTTCAACCAAATGGCGTATAATGCGTAGTCGAATTGATAGCTTTCTTCACAAACAAAGGAATATTTCTTCAGCTTATTCAGCCATATAATGGATAGAAGGCTTTTAATAGTAATAAATAAAGAGAGATTCAGGGTTCAATAGATAATAAAGCTTGAAAACAACAGCGCGCGATCAGTTGTAAAACTTTCTTATTCTTTTCTGTCCGCTGATCGTTCAACATTTTAAGAAAGCATTTAAGAGTTTTTTCTTCGTTTTCTTTTTCAAATTTTATTTTTGTTTTAACTATATTCACATGAATTATCCTTCTTTCAATAAATTCTACGAAACCTTTACAAAAGTTATAGTCAAAACGTCTCGTTTTGCTGTTGTACAGAAATCAATGTTGCTCTATATGATTTCAGTTGTACCCAAAACAACATATGTGAGGTCGATTAGGAGCTCGGGGCCGTGAGGAATCGTCTCTTTCTGCGTGTCCGGGGGGTAGGCAATAGACCTCCAAGACAAAAATTGCTAATCCCCAGAGGTATGCCGGGGTGGGATGATAACAACAACTTTATTGACTTTATCTTCGACATGAAGATTTCAGTACCAAAATAGCAAGAGCCATTACAGTCAAACCAAGTCAAGCGTACCCCGCAAGATTCTATTAATGAATTGATTATTTGAAAAATGAATCCGTCAAGTTAGTCGTTCCGGTAACTGGTGTCAATTCTGCATGCGTAATGAGCAGTGAATATTTTACGAGAGCTTCTCTGTATTTGGTCAGATTGGAAATCTTTGAATGGATTAAGCTTCTTAGAAGACATTTACATCAATTTCAGGAAAATGGAGCTGGTAGAAATTTCATAACTGCCTCGCGTGTGAATTCACGGCTCACTACACATGCAAGAAAGCAGAGATCAATCTGAAATCTACAACTAGCAACGGATTCGACTTTTGAATAATAAATTCATTAATGTATTCTTGGGGGGTACGCTTGACCTGGTTTGACTGTAAGGCTCTTGAAAATAGTCAATACAATGACAAATGAAACAAAGTAAAATAAAAGTGAACTAAGAAACAAAGGAACAACAACTATATATTGAATATTATCGTAAAAGAAAAATTACTTGGCTATGTACCGCTTCTACGCTACTCGTATGGCAAGAAAGTTTATTTAGAGTTCGGATTTATAACAATTTAGAATATTTTCAATATAAGAGGCACTAAGATTTATGGTGTTTTCATCGCACACAGACATGATATATAAAAATAGTGCATTGCAAGACATATTCGTAAAATTACTGTTTATCGAGTATAGGCTCTCCAAGAAGATACCGCCCCTTATATGAGAAAGTGATGAGTGAGTACATTTCAACAAATAGTGGAATGCATCACCAATTTCGGATCTATTACAAAGGGGGTAAAGCCTCTCAACTCTGGGTATCTTCTTGTAGCTCCCAGATTCAGTAGGTAGCAAGTGGCAAGAAATCCGCATTTTGGTTACTGCCACACTCTTGTCTTAACGTTCTTTATTAAAATTAAATCAAGATAAAATTCAAATCTGACAATCGTTTTTCAGTTCATTATACAGACTTAATTTATTTCCAACTAAGGAGATGACAGGTGACTGATAACAGGTCAAATGGGGCCAGACAAATGATCTGCGAACCGTAAACGTGTTTATTTATCTTCCTGTAATTATCATATAAGGACTATAGACGTAACGGCTATATGTAAGTCAGTAATGAAGGATAACATTTCTACTGTCATTCTAAATGCGTTTCCCAGTTGTTCTTTTAAACCCGTTATCAAATTACCAGGTATTTAATATCAATTCGTTCCACACCTTTTTTTGTGCCGAATTTATAGAACTATATTTGTTATCCATGGCAATTCACATTCATTCACTTATTGCTACTGTTGGGCGTTCACATAACGCTTCATCACATAATTTCCATTGGGGCTGTGGGCTTTCTCATCTTGATCAAATTCTCTATCATCTCATCAATCTTGTTTTCATCCGGTATTTCCTCGGCTAGTTTGTCGGCCAGCTCTTTCAAAACCTTCACCTCGTTAGGCTCGTGGACTGTTTTGCCATTTCGAGACGCATCGACTTCCTTCGCATTTTGAACCAAGTTGTAGATGT